CTGTTTTTACTTCAAAATACTAAAACTTTTAAAACGTCCAAAATAACATGTTAATTAAATAACATTATAAAGCACATTATTGTTTTTAAAAAATAACATGTTGCACAAGCCTTTCATAATATTTTTTAAAAATTATATCCTTATTAGATTTGTCAACCGAAAATTAAAAAAAACTACCAACATAAACCTCTGACCAAAATACAAATCACTTCCTTCAATATATATACATGGATTTCAGTTGTGATTTCATTTTTCCTCACTCTCAAAAGTTGGCCATAAATTTATCAAAATCCTTAATACAACAATACAGAACAATACAATTCTTATCTCATCCCAAATCAGATCAACTCTTAACAAATAATGTTCATTATCACAAGTACTATCCACGGCAAAAAAAAAAAAAACCAAAGTCTCGACTTCACAGCTTCTTCTCCGGGGGAAATCTGGACAGAAAAACGATCCCAAGCAACAACAGGAAAAACAAATTGCATTGAATTTATATAACAATTGCCATACTTTCTCATCCATATACGTCCCCTGCCTCCAGAACCAGACATTGATTACCAGAATTTGTTCCCTCTTCGTTTCATAAAATCAGAACCAATTTACCAAACGAACATACCATTTATAATCCCCAGCACAAGAAGCTCAATTAAAGAAATCCAAAAACACGATAAACCCTGAAACAATCCATGGCAAAAACGAACAAGATCTTGGGCAATAATCCCCAGAAAAACCATTGATCAAAATCTGCCGAATGACGCAAAGGAAGACCAAGGAATATCCAGACAACAATTATGACAGAGTATGGAATTACAGACGGCATCGCTTGGATCCACTAGGCATACAAACCTGAAATCAAAGGCCACGGTTCAAAAATGGAACCGAGAGGAAGCTTGCAATTGAAGAGGATATACAGCCAAATCATTCCAATTCAACATACCACAGTCAAAATACTAATAGCCATGGTTCTAAAAAAATTCATATCACTTACAACCGGATGACAGACCAAACAGAGGAGGGACCGAACCAGAACCACCGAACCAGAATCATAAGCAAGAAGCTGATAGATCAATGAATGGAGGAAATACGAACAAAATTTTGGGCAATCACCAGAGAGAGCTCACCGGGCGAACTGAAGAACGAAGATTGGAGACAGAGGATGGATGGATCGGACTATCCAACGCTTCCTTTGGTTTTGGCGAGCCGAGAAACGCACGACCACCCCTGTTTTCGCGAGGCCAGGACGATCTCACCGGTGTCGAGTTTCAGAGCAGCGACGGTGAACACTCGAGCTGGCGAAGAGGCGAGCTGGCGATGAAGCACGGCCGAAGACGCGACCCGATGATGAAGCGGCGAAGAGACGAGCTGATGATAAGGGCCGAAGGGTCGAGCTTCGAGCTGAGTCCAATCGTTCGGCGAAGAGGAGGAGTGTCGGCCAGCGAAGAAGAGAAGGATCTGGGAAATTGCCTACCGGAGCCGTCCCAAATTTTTTCCAGAAGCGAATAATAGCTTCTGCTGAGGGTCGACCTTGAGCTGAGAGCAATGTTCGAGCTGAGTAGCAAGCTAATAACACGATGAATTCAAGAGGAGGAGTGTCGGCCAGCGAAGAGAAGAGAAGGATGTCTGGGGTGTTTTTGGAATGACCATTAGGCGTGCCCGATTTTTTTCCACAAGCGACAATTATCAGCTTCTGGTGAAACCATGGTTTCCATGGTTTCAGATGAAACCAAGGTTTGTAATTTTTTAGATGCTGTTTGGGTAGTATTTTCCCCAAACCATGGTTTGGGGTGCTACCCAAACAGACCCTAAGGATCCGAGGGAGCTGCCCAAAAATAAATAAGCAGAACAGACACCACATCCTTCACAGTGCCACAGTCACATCCCGCGCAGTTTAAGACCCCACCCACGTACGTGCTGCTAATAATAATATTTTTTTATATTTAATATAAGATTTAATTGATTAATTTAAATAGTTTAAAATTTTATTAAATTACTTAATTTTAGCATATGTTATATTATCTCTCTAAAATATTTATATACATTATTAAATTATATATCAATTTATAAGTTAAACAAATTAATTTAAAAAATAATAAATACAGTTATTTTAAAGTAATTTATTAACTTTTTTAATCTTTCTAAATTAGTCAGCTTAATTTTATACTAAAGACTAATAATAATAAAACCGATATGTATATATAGTGCCATAAATGAGTGTACCAAACTTCATTAGTTGAGATTAAAGACATATTAGCCTTCTTTACTCGAAAACCATATTCGCCTTTACCACTGTTGTTTTCATCCTCGAATCTCAAGCCTGCTTTATGATATGATCTGCTTCTTATTTAATGAAGAACTGTCACCCTCATTATTTTTTGGAATCACAAAGGTATTTTTAAATTATATTCTAAATTTAAGATTAATCTTTTTGGGATTTAAAACATATTAAAGGATTTTCACTTTTCCTAACAAATACTACATTTTTCCATATGTGAATTTATGTTTTTTTATTTACACCTCAACCAAAAATTTATTTGTCCCATCCTTATATTATTATTTTCTGTGTATATCGATTAAAATCGTTTTCATAAGTGCTCGGATCCGGAGACTTCTGTATGATTCGTATTCCCCAAAAAAATATAGAGTCTGTTTGGATTGACGATAGAAAAAATAAATTAATTTTAATTTGGTAAAAGTTAGATTGGATAATATGATTTATATTTGAATTGGTTTTTATAAAAGTTAGTTTGTAAAGTAAAAAAATTATTTGGATTATGATTAAATAAGTAAGTTCAGTTTGTAGAATGACCAAAATGATTATGACTTTTATTAAATAATAAAAAATGGTTAAAAATATAAAATTACAAAATACAATAATTTTAAATGATTATAATATGAAGAAGTTATATTTAATGAATAAAATATATTTAAATTAGAAATAATAGTAATGTGAAAATTTTTGAGCTAAATAATTTTACATAATTAATTAGATGACATACCCTTCACAATTTATGTAAATATAAAATAAAAATAATATTAAAAAGTAAACATATTATAAAAATTGTGAAAAATTATTTTTATTTAAGAAAGTATTAAAAATAAATAACTAAAATTGATTGGGAAGCACAAATAATATATCAAGGGACACATAAGAACAATATAAATATAAGGACAAAAATCCTTTAAAATTCTAAAAACCTACTTTTGCTTAAATCATAAGTAAGTTTTAGGTACTTTTACAATTTTACTTAAAAAATTAGCTTTTAATCTATAAGTTAGATTAATTAAAAGTTATTACAAATAATTTTTAAATTTACAGACTGACTTATTATGCACATAAACTACTTTTTCTCTCTTCAAACGCTGCACCAAACAGGGCCACAGAGGATCCAACTTTAATCGCTGCCTCTGGTCCCGCTTCTCCTCAGCCACACATCAATCTTACGAAAGACCCAACTTTTTCTCGTACATTTTTACAAGTCTGTCCCGTGATTTTATTTTATTTTTCCTAAGTTCACAGTATATTGGCTAGACAAGTTAAAAAAAAAAAAAGCCTCTTTTTTTTTCCTTAATAAGAACTGTATAATTAACTGGAAAAAAAAAATCAGAAAACACAAGACAGCCAACAATCCTAACCTTTATTTTTTTAAAAAAAGTATCTTGACCATAGGGATCTGTTTGGTTTCTTATTCTAAGAACCCTTTTTTGGTTTTGAGAAAAATTAAAAAAGAATTTGTTTGAAAAATGTTTTTTGGTCACGTGTTTTGAAAGAAAATTAATCTGGAAAACAAAAAATCAGAACATCTTTTTAGTGTTTTCTTATATTTTTTTTGTCTACTGAATTAGAAAATAGGTAAACAAAATATTATTTTTTTCATTAAGGAAAATTATATAAACATAGAAAATTACACCTGAAAATTCATCACATCATGCTATTAAATATGGGAAGCCATCAGTTATAGATAATGAATATAAAGATTTACTCATATTTAAAACTACTAGTATTTTAAAGTATTATTGACAACAAATAATATTTCGCCCCTCGTTCAAACAATTTTTTTGGCCAAGAAACAAAGTTAAGGTTTGATATGAAGAATACTTCGTAACCACAATTTACAAAACTAATAAAATAGCATGACACATCATTTCATCATAAAGCGAAACGGACGCGCATTCAGATGAGTTAATTTGAACACCAATCTTTTCAATAATAAAGCGAGAGAAAAAAATCCCAGGTTGATGCTAATTTATTGTTCTGACATATTTTCCCTTTTTTTATTGTTCTGTAATTATAATTATAGTAAAAAGGGTCAATAATCTCCCAGCAGCAATTGGCTAATACGTTAGTGAATTAGAATTTGTGCGGATACCAAAAAGAAAAATTCTTGAAAAAGTGATGCAGAACGGAGAATATATAAGGGAAAGTGGATAAGAGGGAAGAGAAGAGAAGGAGGAGAGGGAATATATAGAGAAAGGAGATCAAAGAGAAAACTTACAACATGTGGTAAAAGTTAAAACCTATTCATAAACCCTTAACTCTTAGTTTCTAACCCTAAAGGTTAAAAATAAATATTTTAAAAACCTAAAAATTAAATGCAAATATTTTAAAAAAATTTAAAAGAAAACAATAATTGTTATGATCTTAAAAAGATAAAATAACGGAAAGACTATGAGAATTAACACAAAATATATTCAAACATTCTTCTTCTTCCTTTTCTTGGTTCCATATATAGGAAAGGTATCTCCAATTGAGTTTGACAAGGCTTGAATTAATGTATTTCAAATAGGTAAACGAAGAAAAAGAATGCAATTAAACTAATTAAGGCAAATATTTTTTTAAAAAAGTCCATATAAAATGCATGCTTATGCATGGCACACTCCTTCAAAGGAAAAGCGAAATGAAATAAAATAAACAAAACGCTACTTTATTGTCTCTTTATTTTTAATCAATATTCATATCAACTCTTAGATATTTCGAACTCCGTATAACCAGGAGATCACAGCTCAGGAAAACAGGGTGCTGATAAGGGCAAACCATTGACCAACTCGAGAATGGCTTCCCAATCTTGCCTCTCTTCCTCAAAGTTGTCGCTTCCTCCATTCCCGACACTTAAGACACCAAACACATCGTCATGATGAAGACCTTCCTGCACGGAATTACAGTCATACCCTGTTGATCTGAATGTTTCCACCGCCGCCATAATTTCGCCGCCTGTGACAGGGGAAGACGAGGAAGGAAGTGAACTTTGACTGATCAGCCCAAAGGTAGTATTACCATCAGTACGTTTGGAGTTGGTAGGGACGGTGTCCGGGAAGCTCAAAGTGGACGCCGGCGACTCGAGGTCGTCGGCGGCGAGCATCATGGCGTACATGCTACGCATTATGGGAGTGTTCTCAGTTGACGTTGACGACCAAGAATTCTGCCATGCCTTGAGCACGTCGAGGCAGGGAGGTGGCGATGGGCGAGGTGTGACCTTGTTGAGCACGAGCCGAGTGAGTAGAGGCTGGGAGGAGGAGGAGGAGCCGAGCTGGTTCTGGAGCTGCATCTTTGAGTGTTCTTTGACTTGCTGCCTGGCTTCAGCCTCGAGCCGAGCAGTCTCCCACTGAGCCATATGGCTGAGGTTGGCAGCGTCCTTGACGACGTCGTTCAGTGGCTTGTGGGTTGTTGGGTTTATACCCATTCTGGTGAGCCTCCTTTTCAGGCAGGTGTTCCAGTAATTCTTGATCTCATTGTCTGTTGTCTTTGGCAAGTGATGTGCTATCACCGACCATCTTGTAGGTGCATTTATAAAATAGTATTCAGGAATCAAATAATTGAACTTTTTTGAGAAAATTAAAGTGGGACCGCTGTGGAACTTACTTGTTTCCGAGAAGGGCATGAAGTTGAATAATGGTTTGATCTTCCTGCGAGCTGAAGTTGCCTCGTTTGATGTCAGGTCTTAGATAATTAATCCATCTCAGTCTGCAGCTCTTCCCACACCTCCGGAGTCCTTTTCCTCATCAAAACTTAAAACGCATCACTCATCTTCCTTTCCAGATAAGTCTCTAATCATCTACTTACTATTATCATCTACCATTTTATCATGAAAATAAGCCACCAGAAATTGCGAGGTGGTTTTTAGAACAGATTAATCAGAGTATCTCTGTGCATGTGGGGAAGAAGAGGGAGTAGAGTAATTACCAGCTTTTGCAGGCAAGGAAGACCAGCTTCCATGGCCGTGTAGTTGAATGTAAGACATGAGCTTCTGGTCTTCCTCGGGAGTCCATGGCCCTTTCTTCAACCCTGCTGGTTTCTCGCTGCACGATGATGACTTCACCATTTTAATCTCCGGGAATAGAGAATAGAAACAATAACAAGAATATATTCCCGTTGGGATCTCCGGAAAAATACTGAAATAGATCGTTGGAGTGTCAGAAGAGAAAAAGGGTTCCGTAAAATGGTCTAGAGAGAGAAAGAGAGCAAAAAGCTAGCCAGAAAACACAGACGAAGGAAAAGAAGCAAGTTTTAAATTAAGGAGGGGATGAAAGAATATAACGAAAGGCATAAATAAATGACGGAAGAGAGATGCTGGAAGACGTGAAAGGGGCTCGACATTAACATTTCTAAGTATGGGATAACATGGTTTTGTCACTTTCGTTTCCGTTGGCCTGCGACGCCGGACCATACCTACGGGCACAGTAGGTTTTGTACTCCTAAATTAAAAAAAAAACACAAAAAGAGAAAAAAGGTGGTCCAAAATAAAACGTAGGACATATATAACAAGAGAGATATTCCTCCGCTCCTTAATATAGGATCCAATTCTTGAATTGGTTTTGGTCCTAAATATAAGACCCATTTCTCATATTTATCAATTTTCTTTAAATTACCCCTATGGATACCCCCTCAACTATAGTCAAGTAGAAGAGGAAGATGAGGTATTAAGAAAGATGATTGTAGTGTTTTAGGAAAAATGTGTCATTTTTCTTATAATTAATTAACTTATCTAACTTCCTTAATCTAATCAAATTAATTAAATGAGTTTTATATTAAGGACCGGAGGAGTACATCTTACAAGAGAGATGTTATCATCGGATGAAAAAGTACGAAACAAAAGCTATTTTTCTCCTTTGTTTTTAACTAAGGAACCGAGTAAAACGTAAAAGCCAAATATTTTGTATTACCTTTCAGTTCTTAGGACAAAATGGTTTGTAGTTCAAATTATATTTTTTCAATCAGGTCGTCCCGGCCGCTACGACGTATAAAACTTATAGTTCTATTTATAGAGCAGGGAGAAAAAATTTTTTTGATCCTATTTATAGGTCAAAGAGAGAAACTTTTTATATGCATGTATAATTTGTCCTCCATTTATTATTGTGCTGACTTTATTCTCATAAGGTATAATATATATTAAATAAGAATAAAATTAAAAAGATATTAAATTTTAAATGAGAGTTAATAGAATTTAGAGTCTGTTTGGTACGAGAAAAATGGAGAGAAGGAGAGAGAAGATGAAATTTTAATGAGCTCGTTTTAAAAAAGTAAAGCAGTGGGGCTAAAAATTTTAATTTTTCTTGGTCTCTATGAAACATGTTGGAAATGATTTATAAATAGAATTATATGAATAAGTTTGGTCCCACCGTCAATCTACAGTGGTTGGAAAAACTTGCAAGTATGATAAATTTTGATGTGTACGTAAGACAATTTGTAAAATGCCACCTGCAGTTTAACAGCATTTATTTTCATCGTTTTTAACTCCCCGTTAAATTCTATTATTTCCAACCGAATGCTCCTCTATTATTCGATAAATCCGTACACAAATTGAAAAATCAGAATTAATGCGCTGACAACAGACCTGTGATTCCAATAAATTAAAATTTAATTACCTCTCTGTGCCTTTCTCGTCCAATATTCTCAGAGCTTCGGTTTAATGCACAAGTAAATACGTCCAGCAGCAAAACATGCTGGAACTTTCTTTCCAGTTGTATATATACCGTCTAATATAAAGGGAAAAAACGACAATTATATAAAGATATTAATTAATAAAGTTGACAAAATACCTATTACTTGCATCCATCCAATGAACTTTGCCAAGAACCCCATTCAACAAAAACTTCGCAACTTATTTTAAGTGTCTGTAACATCAAAAGGAACAAGTAATCGTTAGTTTTATTTAAAAACAAAAATATAACAAACTTTAAACTAAATGTGACCGTGACAAAATTGGTATGGAAAATTTCCCTTCTGTCATAATTTGTAGTGTAATTTATACTAGGAACTAAATTTTATATTTAACACGGGAGATAGTATTACGTATGTTAAAAGATCTTTTAAACTGGTGTAAAAGGCCTGCATCTGCCAGTAAAAACCCACATCATTTCATCCCCCGGGGCAAAAAAAAAAAAAAGAACCAAAACCCTGGTCTTCTGTACATTTAATTCTATGGATAAGATGATTCAGATCCATTTTCGGATAATCTACCCTCTCTCTGGAGGGATCCTCCCTCACTTCCCAAAGATAAATAAACTGAAGAAGCAATGAAGACGCTACAAAAAAATTGACTTTCAGCGGCGACAAAAGTCGCCGTCGAAAGTTTTTTGCGGCGACTTAAGTCGTTGCCGTAGCAGTCGTGGCTGAAAACTTTCAGTAGCGACTAAAAAGGTCGTCGCTAAAAGATACTTTCAGCGGCGACTTTTAGAAGTTTCAGCGGCGACTAGTGTCGCCGCTGAAAACACTTTCAGCGGCGACATTTGTCGCCGCCAAAAAGTCTTTCAGCGGCGACAAAAAAGTCACCGCAGAAAACACTTTCGGCGGCGACACTCTTGTCGCCACTGAAAGACTTTTCAGCGGTGACAAATGTCGCCGCCAAAAGTGTTTTTGCGGTGACTTTTTGTCGCCGCTGAAAGTAATGCCTAAGAAGAATTGGCTTTACCAATGCCACGTCATCGTCGTCGGTGCCACGTCATTGTCTCCGGCCGCCACGTCATCACTGTCGACCTCCACGTCATCGCCATCGGCGGCCACATCATCACCGTCGACCGCCACATCATCACTAGCCACCTCCACGTCATTGCCACATCACTCCTCCTCGCCACGTCATCGTCCAAATATTTTCACCTTAAATGTGTCTTCTTCCAGGTTCGAACTCGTGACCGCCTCCTTTCGTGTCCAACCTTCTTGCCGCTGAGCTAGATTGAATTTGTTTATTAATATTGTAAAATAAAATATATATTATTATATTATACTTTCAGCGGCGACAAAAAAAGTCGCCGCTAAAGGTCCACTTTCAATGGCGACTAAAAAAGTCACCGCTGAAGGTCCACTTTCAGCGGCGACAAAAAAAGTCGCCGCTGAAAGTCTTGGTTTCAATGGCGAACTTTCAGCGGCGACTAAAAAAGTCACCGTTGAAGGTCCACTTTCAGCGGCGACACTTTTGTCGTCGCTGAAAGTCTTGGTTTCAATGGCGAACTTTCAGCGGCAACTAAAAAAGTCACCGCTGAAAGTCTACTTTCGGCGGCGACAAAAAAAGTCGCCGCTGAAGGTCCACTTTCAGCGGCGATACTTTTGTCACCGCTGAAAGTCTTGGTTTCAATGGCGAACTTTCAGCGGCGACAAAAAAAGTCGTCACTGAAAGTCTTAGTTTCAGCGGCGACTTTTTTTGTCGCCGCCGAAAGTCGTCGCCTAAAGTCTGTTTTTTTGTAGTGAGAATCACTGATTGGTGAAATCCCTATTATAAGTACTTATAAACATGTTTCACATAAGTTAAAATAAAACTCCTCTCACATATTTATCTCATATACTATAAATTAAATCATGATTAAAAATTTATTTATAAACCATTTCAAATGGGATTGATCAATATATTCATCAGTCTCAATGTAACATCCCAAAATTATTTAGGTTTTAGAGTTAGTTAGTTAATATATATATATATATGAATTACATATATACATATAATAATTGGAAAGTGTAGATTTTCTTTTATTATTTAAAAGGCATCTCAAAAAAAGAAGAAGAAGAAGAAGAATTAAATTGGAAAAGATAAGTTGTTACGTGTAGTTATGGTAAAATACATATAATCATAATAATTATATAAAAAAAAAGTTAAAACGGTTTTACACACACACATATATATATATATATATATAAACGGTTTTTTACATGCACGCACACACACACATATATAAATCAAACATCTTGATATCTTTGATGTTAGTTTGAACAGCAATTTAAATAGGAAAAATAAATAATAATAATATGAAATAGATTGAAATTCAAATTTTGAATCTGTTATATGAATTTTAATAAAATATATATTTATAATTATATATATTTTAAAAAAACTTTTGATTGATTCTGGCAGATTTCATATAAGTCGGTTATCTGCTTAAGTTTAATGAAATTTCAATAATAATATCAATAAGGTAAAACAATTAATTAATTAATTAAATGAAGATTTATTAATTTTAAAAATATAATAACATAACCCTACTTCCTACCTACTCATTCTTTATCTCTTAGACGCCACTCAGTTTCTTCTTTAGCTTTTCCACTACCGTAGACTTGTGGTTTTCAGAAAGCGTTACTCCTTCTTCTACTCTAAACATTCCATCTCCACAAATCAAAATAGATTCAAGGTAAACTTTTCCATTCTTGTTTCTCTTCTCTTTTTAGATTACCTTTCTCATAATTCTTCTTTACCTCATTCTTTTCGTCCTTTCTCCTTAGTCCACCGTAGGCCTTCTTGTCACCATCATCTCCAAGACATACATATATTTGTTAAGGTGTGTACCTACTTTTCTTTTCCTTTTTCATCTATCTCTCCTTTCTCACATTTGACCACTACTATCCATGAATACGCACATATACATTAATAGGAAAAGGGATGAGAATGATTTCACACCATTGACTATTGTGTTAAGACTTAATGTTTTCCTTCATTTAGCCGTCTTTTTCCCTTGCTCTCTTTCTTGTATCATGTGTTTTTGTTTCAGATTCTGCCTCTTCGTAAGACGATGTACACATATATGCCTGATAGAAATATGAATAAATATAGTGCCTCTGTATATATATATATATATATATATATATATATATATATATTACCATCCTTCACTCCGTTTTCAGTGTTCCTCCCCTCTAGTCATAGGTGTGTATACTCGTGTGTGTGTACACAAGACTTTCAGCAACATAGATAAAACAAATGTACCGCTGTTAGTGTTAAAAGATGGGATAAATAAAGGAATATATATATTAAGGACGCATAAATGGTAGGAATCGGTGGAGTTGTTCAATTCCTGGTTGAGTGTTTCCTTAAATCATTTATATATAGAATTATATATA